AGTTAATGGCCTTTTAGGCTTCCTCCGTGTGAGTAGAATTCACTTTTTGTGTAAAGTAAGAAATATATGTCATAGGGAGGGGGGGGGGAATCAGGATTTTAGAGATCACCAAAACCACTGTTTGAAGAGGAGCAATGGAATCTCATCCACACTGCCTGTTTCCTGATTCAATCTATCTCAGAGGCTGGCCAAGGTAGCAACTGTTGAAAACTAGGCCTTCAGTCAGATTGAAGTGGATTCTTAAAATAGGAATGGGAGTGACTTCTACTTGGTGCAATTGGATTTATATTAAATGCTCATGTTCAGGTTTATGCTTAAAAATAACAGAAGGAATAATACATAGAGATTTGCCAAGGCTAAACAAAAACTCTTTCCTCCTGTTTATGTTTTAGGCTACATTCATAGGCGGTTGAAAAATTGATCCCATTAGATTTGTTCTGCAGCTTTTTCAAGCAGCTTTTTCAAAAGAACAACTCAGCTCTTGCAATGTTAACTGCTACTTGAGAAGTCCCACAAGACAATTCTTTATTACAGTCCAACATCTTTCATGCCTCATTGCATAAATAAGACATATTTAAAATCTAATATAATAAAAACATCCCATTTACAAATGAGGCAGAGTTTCCATTAGAATGGTCTGATGAATTCTAGAAGTATCATAAGTGTCTGTGTTGGAAATATTGTAAAACTGATATATGTCGAGGTTCTCCATGAGATCTGGATGGCCCCCACCCTGATGGTATTTTCAGAGGGTCTCAAACCCCAGGCCTTGGATGAGGATGCCTGAAGCTCTCTTCTAGGGAGTGTAGGTTTTGTTTTGATTGCTGCTTGGTCTTATTTATTGTTTTTATTATTGCACTGTTTTATTGTTTTGTTTAATGCTTTTTATTTGTGAACTGCTGGGAGACAAGCGCTGTAAAATATAATAAACAAATAAATAAATAACAATTCCTCATGGAAAAGCTTATGGAAGAAAAAAATGGATGCATTCTGGCTGTTGTCAATCTTCAAGGAAAGCAGCATAATGTTATATTGCTGAATAGCCCACTAGAGAGCATAGAGCAGATAGAAATATATGGGCTGAGAGATTACTGTTAAATATTCAGACAGAGTCTTAACATAGCTGGCTGTTGTAGTTACGCATCTGGCTAGAACTAATGGGTAAAATTATAATTTTCATCAGTATTTGAACATGAAAAACTTTACTCTTCTATCAGCTCTCAGTAGTTCTGACTCCAGCCAAAATACAGCATAAGGCATATATGTCTTGTTGGCTGAAACAGAGCACTCAAATATAGGCACTCAAATGATGCAAAGTTGGAATTAGCATCCAAGTCCAATTGAACTCCACCCAGCAATTTGACCATAATGGGCTTCAGGGCTACTGTGACAATCCTGCCTTCTTGTCTATAAAAACAATCTCAGGAAAAATGTGCTAGTCTTCAGGCAGTGAAATTCAGCATCCAGTCAGCCCCTGTTTTTATTTACAGCAGTTACAGAAGTCTGTTCATTAATTCTGTTGGTTGTATATCCCTAGTTGGTCAGTGAAGACTATAATCTTCAACTTTAATTATTTAATTACAGGCTAAGCTCTGAAAGCAATATTGAATCTTCAGGCTCTCTAAAGTCAAATAGGGAATATGATAGTATCACTAGGTTAAAAATCTAGGTTAAATTTTTTTTTGCTCCTTTGCACCCACAAGAAATCTAAGTCCAGCCACGTTGAATTCTATTGACTCTTATCTACCATAAAATTGCTTTGACCCTTAGTGTTGAAATTCTTGTAGAGAGCATTAGCATGCAATAAACTATATTCATTTGAACTACCTGATTTCCTGTACTTGACATTAACTTTATCTTCAACATTTTATTTTTGTATAATTTTGTCAATTGTGGAGTTATGTTTATCGCACAATTTGTTGTATTGATGCAAATAAGTCTGCCTGTGCTCCAATCATTTAAAAATTAGATTGTTTTAACAATAAAGGGGAATAGCAGTGCCAGAAGGGTTCCCCCCACATCAACATTGGATTTAAGCATTTCAGCTGAAATAGGAATGCTACTGGAAATGTTAAGCCCTTTCATTTGGTTGATTTCTCAATTTCTGCAATACATACAGAAAGTCAACTACTAGATTGGGTACAGGCTGTTACTGAGGACAAGCATATACAATTTGGAAAAGAGTTCTACTGGAATATGACATGCAGTTTTGGGGTCCACTGCTCGATATAAGTCAGAATTTGGCTATATCCTTACCTCTGGAGGTATAATTAGCTGGCCCTATATACCCAGCAAGGGACTTTGTACTTCTATTAATTTCCAGAAGCAGTCCAATAGTCCTATCAGAGGGTCTGGCTTTATATGTAGATCATAAAAATTCCTACAGAAGTTGCCCTCCTGCTCAAATCAACTTGCAGATTAATGCGTTTAGCTGCTTCCTTGAAGTCAGTTTTTGGTAGGCTCTGAATAAGCTTCTCAAAATGAGCCGCAACAGAAGTATCAATGTCACTATCAGGATGGAGCTCTATCCCATAGCACTTGATCAGACTCACTAAAATACACATGTCAACATTCATGTATCAGATTTTTTATTAAGTCATAAGGCACTGTAAAATACAACAGGGCAATGAGGGGGAAGGGAAAAGGAGGAAGAAAAAGAAGCATTGACTTTCACTCTCTCTGTTACAGTGGAATAAGGCATTAACAACAAATCACAACTTTTTGTTTTTCCGTAGTAGTATGATGAGTCAACATTCAAAGTCAACAGCAGATTCTGCAACAAGCAATTCCCCTAGCCTAGATGGACTCAATTCAGGTCCACCGAAAATATATAAATCAAGGCAGCTTGACATCTCTGCCAAGTAACAGCTCTTGCAATCTTTAGAGGTGTGAATAACCACGTGTCAGAAAAGTAACTTTGATGAGCTAACTCCCAGATGAAAGCTTAAACAATTCGTGATAAACAAATGCTCTACCGTCATAGCAGGTTTTTTTTTAAGTCTGAGAGAGGCAACTGTTGAAAGGAAGCTAACATATTTAGAAACGGGTCGTATATTTTGGAGCTTTTCCGAGGTTTTGGGAAAGTAGCAGAGCTGGGAAAGCTAAAACAGGTCAAAGAATCACTTACTTGGAGAAACTGCAACTGAATTTAGTTAACTTCCCCCAGCTCAAACCGGAGCGCCACATCCGTTCATCGGGCTTCGTGCAATGGGCAATCCGAAAAGGGCGGTTTCCGCAGCACCCGTTCGACAGAACTTCCCAGCAACTCTACCCCCAAAAACGTTGCTCCCGGTAGAAGAAAGCGGCTCTCCGGTCTTTTGTCTAAGCAGCCCAACCCCGACGCAAGCTGACCTTTGTCCGAGAAACGCAGACCTCGCCTTAACGCGCCTTCCTTTAATTGGATGCCATCTCGACACAGACACGTGCCCAGAGCCTGCAAGAGAAAATAGCGAAAAGGCCCGCGAGATTTATATGCATTTCGGGGGGCAGAAGAGAGAGCGGCCTACGGTGCCGCGCGGGGAGCCACTGTGGCGGGACCGAAACGGGCGTCTCTCTTCCGAGCCCAGCCTTACTTTCCTCCTCCTAAGCCGTCATGCCCACGCCGAGCAGAGGTCGCCGGTCGCTCAGCCGCGACGCAGCAGTTGTTTCTCGGGCTCTTTCTCTGTCTCGCCCCTTGAACTCCAGCCGTCTCTCTGAGGGAAACGCCGAGGAAAATTTCGCCTTCCGAGCCTTTGAACTCCCGCCCTCCTCATTCACTTCGCCCTCGGCGACGCACCCGGAGGGCGACTTCCACTTAGCCGTGGCCGTTTCCCGCCACGCGCAGCCCACCAGAATGGAACTATAATCCACTCGGGGAACGTTTGACGGGAAACGTTCCCGTTGGCCAAACCTCCGCGCGCAGCCTTGGCCGCCTGACGAAGAAGAAGATGCAAAAGCTCGAGCGAAACGCTCCCCCGTGTTCCGCCGCTGCTTCTTTGCTTTGAGTGAGGCATCTCGTTGAGCACCGCCCGCCTCTGGGGCCCATCTCGCTCCGGCACCGTCTGGGCGCTGCGGCTCCTCTTGTCTCTTCGCCAACTTTAGAGCAGCTTTTCCAACAGGCTTCCAGCGCGGTTATTCCGCCCCACTGATGACTGTTTCTTCACTTTGCTCGACTGTGTGGGGAAAGACGGTTAGGGCTCTGTCTTGCTCGGGAACCTTCTGACCAGTCTCGCTGCCTGCTGTCTTGTGACACTGAACTCCTGGAAAGTTGTGTTTCCTCAACAGATCTTTCCTCATCTCTTCCTCCCCAGCTCTCGCATTTGCTCCTAACAGGATTGAAATCAGTGGGGCTGAAGGGAAAGGCTTCTTGTGGGGATCTATGGAATAAGAAAGCCTCCCACCCCGAAGGTCCCTCCCCCTTTTATTCAGCGTCTCAATCCAGCCTGCAATTGTTGAGATTTCCTATTTGGCAGTTCCCATTCCACGACGACCTGGCAAATTGGACATAGTCAAAGGGAGAAAGATGTCTGAAGTGAAGATTGGATGCACATGTAGCTCTTGTTGGCAAACCCCTGCAACTTTTAACTGCAATTGGGCATCACAGCAGGTTCCAGAGCACCTTTTTCCCTTTACATTTTTTTATTTGTTTGAACCTGACTAACCATGATGTGTTTACCCAAGGATTGGGATTAGTAATGATGGTTTATGGTTATGATTATCATAATTGATTTGACAAACCAAATTTGAAACAAACAGGTGCAATGTTTGTAATCCAGTAATATTTGTCCCATATATATCTCCTCATCCATTTCTCAGATAAATGGAATTAAGATTTCAAGTGGTACAAAATCTGCAAGTAGTACAAAATGTTTCCTTGGTCATTTTCTAAAAGTTCCATTTTTTGGAAAATGACCAAAGAAACATTTTGTACCTCTTGAGATCTTGATTTCTAAGTTTCTAATGCCAAGCAAGCCTGATGAGAATCCCCCGCCCCCTTTGTAGGGAAAACTTTCAAATTTGAAGTCGCAAAGAGAACTTAATAAGCAGGTAGGAAATACAGATGAAATGTATGTCTTTTGAACATATATTATAACAGCATATTATACTTTGATTAAATTGTTTGCTATTGCTTTTCTTTTAACTGTTTCACTGGCCCCATCTCACTCCTGACCTGAGTTTGTTGGCATCAAGATGTGAACCATAAGAGGATGTACAGGTAGTCTTTGCTTACTGGCTCCCATGTTTCAGCTTCTATGTTTAGTGATCATTCAAATTATGAGGATGTATGTATGTGTATATGTGCCTTGCCACATCCCCACATTTATGACTGTTGAAGTGTCTTATGATATTTCATTTATTGAGTGAACGTGAAGTAATGTTTAAGTTAGGCACATGATTTCCAATTGTGACTCTTAGCAAAAGAGTTATTGAGGACTACCTGTACTTGAAATTCTACAAGCTTCAACTGCTCACTACAACTTTTATTACTATACCCATTCTTCTGGTTGAATTCCTCTGTGAACACCATAAACCTATATTCACTGCACATTATTTACAGTAAAATTCTGAAGCTACAGAACAGAGTTGATGTACCTTCTGTGAGACTTCCAGTGATACTGATAATCCTGTATTAAATTTATTTTAAATGTTATATTTTATTTATTAGCAGAGAGAAAAGATTCCACTCCAGTAATGTTATCCATTATGGGAGATGAACATAATTGGATAATAAGCCTAATCATGCATCTACTGCATCTTTTATAACAGTTTATGCATCTTATGTTTCCTAAATTAGTCTTCTGATTAGAGTGCTCCATCCTTGTTCTGATCCCCCCCCCAAAATATGTTTACTTATGTGCACTTGTCTTTAAACCTTTGAGTGATAAAATAGAACAGCCTTCAAATCATATTTGAGTCATTCAAAATACTTCTAGAATTAAGATAAAATTCTCTACCTCTGGTTTCTAATGGACATTAAACAAGCTTATAGAAAAATAAATTTCTTTCGATTGAATTTACCCTGATAATTGAAAGAACTTTATATAAGACACCGGCTACTTTATCTTATATATCAATAAAAAAGGGCACATGGAAAAAAAGTAATGATAGATGCATTTGGTATAGAGTTCTCTGAACTACTGAGCCCAAAGAGGTAAATGCTTGATAATGCTTGATCTAGATTAGAGGAAGCCACAATTAAACAGTGGAACAACTTGCCTCCAGAAGTTGTGGGTGCTCCAACACTGGAAGTTTTTAAGAAGATACTGGGCAACCATTTGTCTGAAATGTTATAGGGTTTCCTAGAAGACCTTCAAGGTCCTTTTCAACTCTGTTATTCTATTTTGTTACAAAATAAACATAACTGAAACCCTGTGGATTAGAAAAAACTAAGTAGGACTTTGTTATCTCTGAACAGATCAATTCTGTAGAAAGGATACTGGGACAGTGCATTATGTCGAAGAAGGCATATATTCTTTAGAATGTATTGAAAAGGCTAGCTATTTGTCCATCTAACTTCAGGGATCATACCTGGCAAGCGAGTGCCCCTTAGGATACTACAAATGGTTTTTCTATAGCAGCGGGACAACTGTTTTAAAGCTCTTTAGGAGAAACAGATTTAGAGAAAACTAATTTTTAAAGCCATACAGATTAATGTAATGAGAATTGCTCCGTATTTAAAATAACCTTTCCCAACAAGACACTTTTCGTGTTTTGAATGGATTGGTAATTCTAGGATTTGTTGTTCTAAAATATCTGGAGAAAGCCAGAGTTGGAGAAAACAACTTTGCAACAATCAGGAAAAAACATATATAAAGTGATACAGGGCTTGACAGAAACAATATAACTTTATGACACTTATTAGCAATATTACTAAGTACCAGCCTCAATTGTTTGCACAAGTTCATGACATTTCAAATGCCACTGGGTGGTATGACAGAAAAAAGAGAGATTTGCACAATTTATCTCAGTGAGAAAATGTCCTTGTTTGAATGCGTTTTCCATGCTATAATAATCCCGCTAGCAAGAATGGTCCCTTGTAACAATGGAATAAAAACTATAAATTGAATGACAATGGAATAATAATAGAGGAGAATATATGTAACTCAGAATTGAATGATTAACTCCTTGGTGTTCTCTGGGTGAGCAAATCCCATTCACTAAAACTGATGTTACATGGAAAGCCCCCAGGATTCCATAACTGTTTTTATAAGTAGTTTTGAGAGTTTTGTTTGATAGGTACATTAAAAGCTGGAATTTTATTGCACATTAAGTTGCATAGCTAAAAAGTTCTTAATTGACACCATGAATCTAAACTGACATTCCTACTTTTGTTGTACAGTAATTGGAGGTGTTTACAAAATTGGACGCATCGTTAACATATGCCATGAGCTCTGCCCCTTTTTTATCTGCATGTGATATCACAATACATGTACACAGGGATGAAGCTTGTATTGATACATTGCTGTTATAATTTCCACCCTCCCCTTTGTAATTTTTTCAATAATAAAAAAAGCTAAAAAAAAAAAAAAGCTCTTATTTCCAAGCTACCTATGTTTGACATGGCAGCTATTAATGTAAGAGTTGATGTGCTTTCCTTGATGTGCCAAGAAAGATTGTTCAGAGAAACATCATTTTCTGCTTTTAGGACACTACTATTGTAATTCTTGGTTAGATTTTATATGTAGAATATATCTGAAGTAGTATCACTGTATACATCAGAATATGTGTTCTTTTGCAATTCAATAAATGTCTCTGAAGTTTGAATAGCAATAGCACACATTTAAAGTAGATTTACAAGGAATAGAAGGGATAGAACACAACTAAATGTAGCTTAAATTGAATCATAGAATCTTAGGGTTGGAAGGGACCTTGGAGATCTTCTGGTCTAACCCCCTGCCTATGGTAGAATCCCAGACAAACTGGATGTCCAATATTTTCTTGGACGTCTCAGTGATGGTGCACCCACAACTCTATAATTAAATTTATATTATAGTAAATTCTGTTTTTAGTGTGATTCATCTGAGTTATTTAGAAACAAGATAGAAAATAGAGAGCAAAATTCATATGAAGTAATTAAACAGCACACACAAAACATGGCCATTAAGTATAATTTACAAATATCAGTGATTGGCAGTCAGCTGCAGCCTCTTGCCATTTTATCCACTTTCACATGATGTACTGTAGTTGCTAGGACAATTCAAAGAGGCTATTTATGAATAGCACACAATGAAATGGATGAGATTATTAAGTAGCTAAGTAGCTACAGGAAAGGCGTCATACTGGAATAAAAAGCCCCAAAGTATTATAGATGTTTTAACAACCCAATTACCCCTAGTATAGTGTTTTGTAAAATAGCCTGATTTTCAAAAACTTTAAACATGTTTTTTCCCACCTCATCAGAAGAAGTTTTGAAAGTCTCACATTGGATTATATAACAAATATGCACAATGCCATACTTGTGAATAGGCTTAGACTTGTGCTAACAAGAAAATGCCTCTGTGCGCATAACACACTTAATTTGATCAGATGATCTAATACTGGAATTTGCACAAAATACTAAGCTTACTTAGTGTTAATATTGGTTCTATTTTTTCTCACCAAAATCTCATTAGCTTGATTCCTTATATATTGAGCAACCTAGATATGGATTAATTCAATAAGATGGTTAAACACAGTGATTGCATATCATAGTGCTTCAGGGCATAACTCCACCCTGTCCTCTGTCCATAACTGCCAGATAAGAAGGTTGTCTTATGAAGTTTGGTTCAAAACATCAACAAGGACTTTTCTACCGGGTTACCAACATTGAAATTCAACTTGAGAAAAAAATTACATATTAACAGATTGTGCATGTAACAATCTGTCTGTGGTGGCCTAGTGGTTAGAATGCAGTACTGCAGGCTACTTCTACTGACTGCTGGTTGCCTGACACACAATATTATAAAGAATAAAATTTAAACTGTTGATACACAAGAAGGTAGTTATTACAAAAACCAAGCGTCTACATATCTCATTGCTTCTTGGTCTACTCTGGAAAGTGGGTTTATAAGATGCAGGGCAACAGCTACTATCATGTTGCTTGTAGTTAAAAAATGTCTCAGTTCTACCATATGACGGCTGAAATAGGAAACTGCAGTCTAGGAGCAAAATCCAGGGAGAGTGTCTTTGTTCCCCTGGGCCTTAATTAATTAAGCTCTCCCTGCAATTGGAAAAGCAGATACAAGGTGAAGACAACCCACACGTTCCTTAAACTCTGCAGCAGTAACTTTCTCCTTGAATTTGCCTACTACATGAACTATTTTCCACATTAAATACTACCACTTGTATAGTTACATGTAAACAGGTAACCCAAATCATTTTATTATACTGCTGTCCATATGCCATCATAGATAGGAATGTAAATGACTTAATTATAATTATACTTGGAGGCGATGAATGCAATGCTGTACTTTATACTGATACTATTCACAATAATTAATTTTGATCATCATGGCCAGAGAAAAAAACCATAAAGAAGAAACTCATGATCTTAAACACTTTCATACTAACTTAATTCTTTTTCTTTGGAATCAGGCTTGAAGTTGTTACATACCTGGCTTTGGCAGAAAGTAAACTTTTCAAGGTGGAGCTTCTTTTTCTCAATGTGGCTCCTTCTCCATAGACCAACCTTTCCCACTTTGGTGTCCTTTGGAAGTAATGGCCATGCTAGCTGGGAGTGATTGCCAGAACCTCAATATACCTGGAGTACTTCCAGGTTAGAGAGGCATGGTTGACAAATCCTAGTCCTCAACATAGCCCTCCAGATAAAAATTTTGAGTCCAAGTTATTTGTTCCTCTCATCATATCATTTCTGGTTTTGCAGTAGCTCCAGGGGTGAAATTCAGCAGGTTCTCACAGGTTCTGGAGAACCGGTAGCAGAAATTTTGAGTAGTTCGGAGAACCGGTAGCAGAAATTTTGAGTAGTTCGGAGAANCTAGTCCTCAACATAGCCCTCCAGATAAAAATTTTGAGTCCAAGTTATTTGTTCCTCTCATCATATCATTTCTGGTTTTGCAGTAGCTCCAGGGGTGAAATTCAGCAGGTTCTCACAGGTTCTGGAGAACCGGTAGCAGAAATTTTGAGTAGTTCGGAGAACCGGTAGCAGAAATTTTGAGTAGTTCGGAGAACCAGCAAATACCACTTCTGGTTGGCCCCGGAGTGGGATGGGAATGGAGATTTTGCAGTATCCTTCCCCTGCCATGCCCACCAAGCCACACCCACAGAACCATTAGTAAAAAAAAAAATGAATTTCACCACTGAGTAGCTCCCTTGCCTCTTATACTACATCATACCAAGTTCAGAAGGAAAAGAGACACTTACACTCTCAACTTTGGGTGGTGGTGGGAACATTAACAATTATGACTCAGCCTCCTTCGAAAAACACTTCAGTCTGCAGCACAAGAGCTGTGGGAGTTATCAGTGAGTCTCTGCAAGAGGTAGCTTCATATTTCAGCCTCATAGGTGCTCAGTTTCTTTGGATAACAAAAGAAATTAGCCAACCTGAGCAGAGGAGCGGATGGAGTGAATGTAGGGCTGTGCAGCTATAGAGCCTCCTTTAATCAGTGCGTTCCCCTCTCTGCCCCACTCCCGGTAGTCTCCACAGGTAGTAGCCAATGCATCTTGGAAGTTTGGACCAATATAAAAAAGCTACAGAAGAGGGACAAACAGGGTTCTGAAATATTGGATGTATTGGCCATAATCCTGCTGAAATTAATTAAGAAAAAGAACAATTTTAAGTATACCCTTGTTTTACAAGCCTAATCTGCAGGAGTGCTTTATTGCAGGGAAGTGAAATATTTGAATTTGGTCCAAGAAACCATATTGATGGTTTAGAAGTGAATAGCAGAATCTTTTTTTTTTAATATATGGAAACTAATTTTCTATGCTACAGTAAGTGTAGTTATGGAATTAGCATGCATATGTGTTAGCTATCATCTTTGACTAATATTTATTGTAAAAGCTCCACTTTCAGGCTTGTCTCTCCCCCTCTGTGTCTCTCTCCCTGTCTCCTTTTCCTCTCCATGCCTCTGTGTGTGTTGCAGCAAAAACAACACAGGGAGTTTTCAAGTGGAGTATTCTAGCAATCCAAGTGAAAAATAATTCTGTACCTATTGCATTTTTCTAGCATAGCAGCTTTTCTGTGAAGAGAGAAAAACCAGCAGCATTAACAATAAAATATGAGAAGGCAAAGGAAGTTGCAAAGCCTCTGGTAAGATGCCTGTTCTTGGAAATCGGAAACCAGATAATGAATTCCTGTGACACAGGAAATTAAATGTATACTGAACTGGTTACACAAACATATCTTTCTGTAATACAAGTTTATTCAGTATTAATAAAATATGTTAAAAATGTTTAATTTTACTGAAGCAAGCAAAGTGGCAAATAAAATCTTATTTTATCTTTTTTATCTGCTCTTACTTTCACTGCCAGGACGTAGTTATTTAGTTCTTTACTGTGGCTCTAAATTCTGGGAAACAAAAAGAGCAATTTGCAGGCTGCATTCAGTCTGCCAGCATATAATTTGCTCCTCTCATACTCTGTGGGCTGTGGGAGGTCATAAGTCTCAATATGCCTTACAAAGCTTGGTACAAACTATACCGATGGAACTTTCCACCTACACTCCACATCAGGCTATGATTTCATAACTTCAGCATTGAGTCAGCGTAATTGTTTATTTTGTATTTGTCTAATACAGGCCATCCTTGACATCCAGCAAATATATTATCACTCAATTAACAACAAGTTTGTGCTGGAAAAAAAGACTTACAATCACTCCTCACAATTAAGACTACTGCAGCATCAACTGGCATGTATTTACAACAGCTGCAGTATTGAGATCATGTGATCATCAGTTGTAACTTTCCCAGTTGGCTTCTGACAAGCAAAGCCAATAAGGAAACTGGGTTTCTTTAATGACTGTGATAAAAATCTTGTAAAATTGGGCACAGTCACATGATGACACACTTAACAACTGCATCACTTAGTGACAGAAGTTCTGGTCCAAATTGTAATTGTAAATTGGGGATTATCTGTATTCAACATATCTACAGGTTGCAGGCTGATAGCCCAGCAACTTTCCCTCCACGTAGACACCATTCCTTTTCTTCCCCAGATTTGAGATAAATTCCCTGTTTCAGGGCTGGGAAGATAAACCATTGATTTATGGTTTGCTCAAGACTGAAGATGAGCTGTTTTCATTGTTGCAAAAAAGGTACTGTTGGAAAAAGTTCCTTTCTTCTATGTGAAGAAATATTTCCTTTAAATGTAGAAGGTAGTTCCAGTTTTAGTAAGAATTAATAAAAAAACAGCTTACAAAACAAACACAAGTGCTATAGGAAGACATTTTGTGGTAAAGCAGAACAACTAGATTTTCTAATAGCTTTATACCATTTAGTATCAACCTTGTTAACTCTCAAGACTTTTTTCCGCTATGTATCCAAAGCAGATTGTGACTAATTTATATATTATGTATATGTGTGTGTGTGTATGTATGTGTATATATGTTGTATATATATATGGGTACATATGTATGTTGTCTGATACTTGCTTTGATGTTCTCTGAATTTCATTTTGAATGTGTGCCAGGGTATACCCAGAAAAGGCAGCAATAAAGATTATCTTATCATATATTTGCTGACTGTTGGTATATCTAATAAGATTCATCCAAATGTAAATAAACAATATAAGTCACTTCATTAAAACTATAATGATATATTGTTAATCAATATAAGTCAGTTAAGATTTTATTTTCCATGCAAGATAATACTTTTATAATTATAAGAAAGATATACAGACAAAATAATTGTGGATGACTCTTTCATTCAAACTTCCCTGACCAGGGAAGGTAAACTCAGAGTGAGTCTCAAAGCAACATATTTTCAACAATTCTATAGTTGAAATAATTTCCTGAAACAGTACATCTCAACTGAATATATAATGATAAAGGCACATTTGTTATGCATGATCACATGACAATGTACAAAGACATGCCCAAGTTATTCCTTTTTCCAGGTGAACTTACAATCCAAAAAAAGGCCAGAAAAGTTAACTTGCAGCCTACGTTTTCAACCAATGTATTAGAAGAGGACATATAAGTATACAGATTTACTAAAAGGTGCAAGTTATTGAAATGATTAATACAAAATAAAAAGAGAAAGTACAGAATAAAATATTACATTCTTTTAAAATACCTGTGTACTTGATAACATCCATTAGAAACCCAAGAGTAATGTATAATTGGAGACTGGAATGAATGATGTTGTTTCTTAGCACAACTAAGTATCCTGGGATTATAAAAAAATGAGATCTGTGTAGCTTCACTACACAGTGAACTGTGTTTCACCAGACAGTTAGGAGGCCAGGTCTCCTAACCCCATGTACAAATGAAAACCAAAGTCTCAAAGACTTTAAATCAACATAGCTCCAAAGAAATAGGTAACAGACATACTGTATGTCAGACTCAGTACTATAAATATTGAGATGGGCAGTGTTTGCCACAAGGCCTATGGGCATAAGGCAACAATGCTGGGCTTCTTCTTGTCACACCTTCCTTGCCCCACCCTTTTAACAAACTGGATTGATTGCATGAGGAATCATCTGTGAACTGCAACAATTTAGAATTTTGGATTTTGCAACCAAGGCATTGTAGCTAACCAATAGGAGCAATGAAGTGAGAAGGATAAATAAAGAAGCAAGGAAGGAAAGAACTATTGTTGTGACCACTCCTATCCCCTCCTCCACTGCTGCTCCTTAGTCATTCATTGTTCCAGCAGCCTTGTATGCTAGAAGTAGAAGAACCCTTGTGGGCATTGGTGATTCCTCTGGTGATTGTGCTGGCCATTATTTTTCCTCTCCTGCTCCTGGATTGTTGAAGGAATAAGAGAAAATAGGCATTTCACACCTGGAGGGCAAAATCTGAGACAGCCACTAGATTCATCAAAGAAACACATTAAAAGAATATTTCCCTGGTGCAGAAATGGTTTGCTTAAGAGGGGAAAAACTTTTAGGCATCCCAAGAATTAGGTGGGGGGAAGATTTCTGAATGGAAGGAGACTAGGATAACACCTCTGAGTCTGAAGGTGAAAGGGGAAAAATATACTTTGAAGCAATCAAGGTGTGGGACAACTCTCAAACTCTCATCAGGCTCAAGCTGTGCTAGCAGGAAGAAGTGGCAATGTGACTCTCTTATTCTCTTTCTCCTAACCTTCTCAAATGCAGCCTGGGGAGTGAGGACTTGGTGCCTAACGCTGAGAGGCTGCATATGACAGTTTGCCTTGGAGCCCAAAGAGCTCTCTTTATACTTGTGACCAATCCTCAGAGCAGAAGCCTGCGGTTTCATAGGAGCAAGAACAAGGAAATGAGAGCAAGAGATCTAGTGAGCTAAGGCAAGACATCCAGCTGAAGGTAGAGTTACAGAGTAGAATCCTCCAAATTTCTACTAGGATTATCTGAAGCTTGAGCAGGTATTGATTCTTAAGGAGAAGTAAGTTTAAGTTAAGAAACACATGAAAAAATATAGTCTTCTAAGGCCAGTTATTTCCAATACTCTATGTGCAGGAAAGAACTTTAGCAGAAATAGGCAATTAACAAAGAGAAGCAGGGATCCTTCTACAAAATTCTTTACTATCATCTAGCTTGCTATAGCTATATATGGATAAGGGACAAAAAATGACTGTTAGGCTTAAGTCACTTTGTGGACTTGAAATCTGGATTAGACATTTTCTATAGCAGTGGAATTAAGGCCTACCAGAACAATAAACATCAAAGAAAATTTAAATTTAGATTTAGAAAAAAGTATTCATGTTGTTTGGAAATAGGCTGAGAGGATGAGGAAATGCATGATTATAGTGGTATGATGGCAGAGGGAATTTAATGCAGAATTAGCAGCTTTATTGTCATTAAAAGGGAATAGTCCAGCATTTCTGCAAGTAAAACACCACACACTTCCAGTGATTTGCAGCTCAACCAAACAGTACCACTTCTGCCTATCTAGCTCATTACTGAAAGTACATCCATTGGATGCTTTCGTTTTGTTTGCCAGTAACACAGTATACTCTGCAAATATCGGATAAGCTCTTTTCGGAAAACAGACTGGGTACAAGCGTACAGATACATATTGATAGCAGTGTTAGTCATTTCTAGCATGGTCCCAATATCTGTTACAATATTAATGGTCTTTGAATAATCTTGCCTATCTATGTTATAGTAGGTGGTTTTTATGATGATTTGAGTCACAAACCTGGTGGTGCAGAGACAGGCAAATGTCATTGAAACTGTAACCAAAAGGATGATTGATTTCTTCCAGATACGAAAATGGGTTGCAGGTGGGTTTCTGTGCAAGACTGTCCAGGTAACACTGTGTACTTTGTTACTGTGAATTATCTGCCTTAGAATGAGGCTGTTTAAGGTGAAGATAATGATGTAAGGAATAATGTAGATCACAGAAGTCTGGAACCACACAAGTCCCTTCACATATGCACTGGGGAGTTCAGGGTTATATTTACAGATGACATGTCCCGTTCCATTCTCCACTTCTGAATAGTTAGACCAATAGTGAGGGATGGCCACAGTATAACAGCAAACATGAATCACAACAATAACATGAATTGTTTTTCTGGGGGAAGAGATTTTCATCCTGAGCTTGATATTGTTGATTGCAATGAAACGCTCAATGGTGAAAGAAACCATCAGCCAGACAGAAGTGTTAACTGCACCATAGTTGAACACATCCCGCAACGTGCACCAAGGATCTCTGTACCAGAATGGACTTGTGCAAAAGCATTCTACAATGATCTCAATGCCAACCACAAGAATAAGGACCACTGTGTCAGCCAATGACATAGCCATGAGGAGGTAGCGACTGGAGGTGGAAATAAAACAGTTTTTTTGACTGAAGATCACTAATGTCATCACGTTTGCTGCAAAATGAAATAAGAATATGCAAAAGTGTTTATTCTTATTGTTGACACCCTCCAAGCATTTACTTAAAGTTTGGATCCAGCATGACATATTCCTCTCCCACGTGGAAGTTGGCTACTAAAGTTCCTTTGTAGCTTATTCATTGGGTATGTTTCTATTGCATCAGCTCACTCAGTTATCAAAGGCCTTGTCACAATAAAGATTAGTGCAAACTACTACTGCACTGTACTCAAAATCTTTCCACTTTTTACCATGATATTCTTACAAAAAGGTAGTTTCTGATACCTGTTTGCATTGTGTGGCAAGAAAAATACTTAATTATGGCTTCTCTGCCAGCACACACAAGATCACACAATCCAAATTACAATTAAAAAAAGGATCAAAACAGAATTTTCAGATGCTCAATGATTTCTTGCAGAAGCTCGATATCAGCACTTGGAAATTTTGTAATTGATTCTAGTAAGGATCAGAAACTCTTCCATTCCTTTTCTCTTTAAAAGATACTCATGGCATTATCATTAGAGACATATTTGATGTACTTAAAATACAGTTTACATAATTAAACTTAAAATAGTCAGTGAATAGTCACAGATTGAATTCCAATTTGGAATCAAAGTATATTGCAATTTATAGGTAACTATTCTGGCTGTTAAGGATCCAAAAACAATTAATTTCTTTCACAGGAACTTTCTGTTCTTTCCTGTAACTCAGTTATTCCTGTTCTTTTTTCTTCCCTAGACCAAGTGTCCCAACACATTGCTGGCTCTTGCCTTTCCAACATTGATTGTGCATTAATTTGCACCTTATTGGTATTACCTTGCACATCACTTCCTATTTTGAAGCCTTCAACTCCTGTTGTTTCCCCTACTTACATGGAATGCCAATTATGACTAGAAGAGGGTAGAATACTTTCTTCAGTGTTGTAATCCAGTAACTTGATTTCATTCTAAAATCCAATCCTCTTTTACAAATGCCGACAGCATCAACCGTGTCTTCTGTTAACACTGAAATACTGAACACTGAATTTATTATAGCATCTATAAGTCACTGGTAAATTATTATCTAGGTGCAGATGAGATTATGCTGTAAACAATTAACTGTGAACATAAATCTTAAGAATAGAAAGGCACACTGGCATTGTTTAATTTTAATTACCTGGATTGCCTCTAATTGTAGAACTACCTATACTAGTTCCTTATTGAATAAAACATGTTATTTTCCCCCTCCCAAGTTTATTAATTTAAGAACAGCAAAACCCATTCACTTAAAATATGAAGAAATAATATATAAAATACTGTATGAACATGCAGAGATTGGGGCGTTGGCTCTTACCTGATATGCCCCTTCTCTAGGCAGATGGAAACAGCGGTCATGCATGGGTTAACTCAGTCAGTAACCAATAGAACTGAGTCTATCAAAGTGATGTCATCGCCTCGGGGGAGTGTCCTCCCACTTTTGTGACAAAGGAGATAAGTAGACTGCTGTGCATTAGTTGACTGCTTTCAATCCTCCAAAAAAAAAATAAAAAAAATAAATTCCCCCCTTAGCTCCATAATGCTCACTGTCACCAGGCCAGGAACCAAGGGTGGGGATGATTGCTGTCTCCACTTGCCTAGAGAAGGGGCGTATCAGGTAAGAACCAACGCCCCATTCTCCAACGTTGGTGGAGACAGTGGTCATGCATGGGATGTACCAGAGCTGGGCTTGTCCCCGGGTAGGATTGAGATTGGGCTAGGAGCATGAAGAAGGGAGAACTTGCTGGAGGACTCGCTGTCTGAATGCTGCATCCACCGATGCGTTTCTGTCTATCTTATAATGGCGGATAAAAGAATTAGGGGTCGCCCAGGTGGTTGCCTTGCAGATCTCTTCCACCAAGGCCTGCCTTGTCCATGCTGCAGATGTAGCCGCTTTGTGTGGAATGAGCCATGATGTTAGATAGAGGGGAGAGGTGGTTTGCCACGTAAGCCCTGGTTATAGCCAATCGGATCCAGCGCCCCACCATAGAATGGTGAAGCCTTTAGACCTTTATTTGTGGGATGGAAAGAGACGAAGAGCACCTCAGTGCATCTGAAAACGGCCGTCTTGGCAATATAGATCTTAAGAGCCCTTCTGACATGTAACTTGTGCCATTTGCGCTCGAGCCTATGAGAGGAATTAGGGCAAAAGTTTGATAGGGTGAGGTCCAGGGACCGATGAAAGGCCAAATTGACCTTTGGGACAAAGGTGGGATCAATCCGAAGGACCACATGATCTGGATGAAAAGTACACAGGTCGGAAAGGATGGAAAGAGCTGCCAATTCTGAGACGCGTTGTGCCGACGTGATAACCACCAAGAAGGTTGTCTTCAATGTGAGGAGGCCAACCTGAGAGGCACGAAGGGTGGTCCAGTGAGGGAGTCAAGGACCCTGGTGAGATCCCATGAGGAGAAGTGGTGGATGACAGGAGGGCAGAGGTTAGATCCACCCTTAATGAAGCGTCGTACATGAGGGTGCAAGGAGAGAGGCTCATTTCGGTGAAGAGAGAGCACTGAGGACAGAGCCGAAACCTGCCTCCGCAAGGTGTTAGGTGTAAGCCCTTTGTTTAGTCCCTGTTGCAGGAATTCCAAAACCTGGGAAACCGAAGCCTCCAGGGGAGAGACAACTTTAGAGATGCACCACGTGCTGAAAGTCTGCCATGTTGATTCATAGATTCTATTAGTGGCTGGGCGTCGGGAAGCCTGAATGGTTTGGATTACAGTCTCAGAAAGGTAAGTCGCCCTCAAGACCTCCCATTCAGCCTCCACGCGGTTAGGCAGAGCCAAGATAGGTCGGGGTGTTGGATGGAACCCTGATGAAGAAGGGACGGTATCAGGGGAAGACACCACTCTGGCCCCACTGAGAGGTTGATGAGGTCTGTGAACCACGGCCGGCGCAGCCCATGGGGGGCAGGCAGAATGAGCTCGGCTTCCTCCTCTATCATTTTCCAAATGATATCAGGGGGAAGGGAGGGAAGGTGTACAGGAGACCGCGGGGCCACCTACACCTCAAGGCGTCTGTCCCTTCCGCACCTGGTGTCGTGTAGTGAGACAGATACCTGGGCAGCTGTTTGTTGGATGCCGTTGCGAAGAGATCTAGGATCAGGTCCCTGTACCTGGTGGACAGCTGTTTGAAGATGCGATGGTTGAGGGTCCACTCCACAGGGTCGATTGCTGTATGGCTCAACCAGTCCGCCCTGGAGTTGTTGAAGCACGAGATGTGTTCGGCGTGGAGAGAGAGAAGGTTGGCTTCCACCCAGATCCATCGGTGAAAGGTGGACTCCATGAGAGAAACAGCTCTCATCCCCCCCCTGGTGGTTGACATGCGCCTTGGCTGTCGTGTTGTCTGTCTGAATAAGCATATGTGTGTTGTGAACTGAAGATTGGAACTGAAGGAGAGCTAGATGGATGGCCCTCAATTCTAGCCAATTCATACTGTGGAAGAGGTCAGAATTGGACCAGAGAACATGAGCTATCTGATCCTCCAGATGAGTGCCCCAACCTGTCAAGCTTGCATTCGGCGTAACTACGAGGCAAGGAGGTTCCCTGAAAAGGGACCCCTGAGAGATGGCTGGGGAGATCCACCAATCCAAAGAGAAAAGCAGCTGTTGGGTAAATCAACAGCTTTGCTTCTAGTCATATAATTCTGTGTAGCTACATATAAATCTGATTAAATTATGTATTTTGGGAGGATCAGTTTGATCTCCAAAACACAAAACCAATCTGTTTTTATTATCCCAAAGAAAATTAAACAATAGTGGATACACTGACAGTTGACACCAGTAAAGGAGAATATTTGTAGCTCAGGATTAAAATGAGTGGGTCCTTTGTGCTCTCTGAGCTTAGTTGTTTTCTTGCACACATTTCATTCCCCAAACTAGGTAACATCATAATAGCTAGAAATGTGAACGGGTTAGAAAAAAAATCTAGATTAGATACCTAAAAAAATATCTAGATGGCTGGGAGGGGGAACCAACCAAGCTCATAGAGCACCAGGATCTGTCACTAACTGATTTTAATTTGGACTGTACAAGTAGTCTCTTATGATTTGTGGATCAAAATTTGCAGTTTCAAATAAGGCCATGGAACTGGGCTTTATTTAGTAAAATATGGCTTAGCAGATTCTATGAATAGCAATAGCAATAGCAGTTAGATTTATATACTGCTTCATAGGGCTTTCAGCCCTCTCTAAACGGTTTACAGAGTCAGCATATCGCCCCCACAGTCTGGGTCCTCATTTCACCCACCTCGGAAGGATGGAAGGCTGGGTCAACCTTGAGCCGGCG